AATGTGTTTGCTAAGTCAAAACGGCACTTAGTGTTTCTTAATTCATTATTTTCAGTATTGATTTATTTTGCTTTGTAGCCCAACCCATTAAGGGACTGCTGGCCCAGTAGGTTATTTGTTCTTTTCATATTTAAGACTCTAAAACGTCTTGTAAGATTCTTTTGGTTGTTCATGAAATAAGAAAAGTCATTTGTTTTCTTAAGAGCAATCTGTTTCGAGTTATTATTATTGTGTTTGTAGATTCGAGCTACATCATAATTGCTCAACAAATATATTTAATTTTCTGTCATATAGTAAGATGAATTGGACAATACTACTTTACGACGTAATAGTCAAAGTGGATGTCCATCTATGGCCCTACAACAACCTCCAAAGGTACCCCTAAACTTTACGATGTCTGGTGCAGTAGGCCTTCGTCTGAATAATGCATAGATATTTGTAGAGATATCTTACGTTTCCTCATCCTTTTGTTGTCTAGTAATATAAAAACTCGAGTTGTTCTCCTAAGTCTACTAGTGGTAAATTAGGCTATTGTAACAAAAATTTTGATCTTGTATCCATGTTCTTACAAGAACTTGACTTATTTGTAAATTTCAATCCTAAAGGCATAAAGGATGATTGTTGATAAAAGATAATTTAAAATTAGAAAAAAACAAATAATATTTTTTTCAATAATATGTTAAATTAAAAAAAAAAATTAATCCACTCTTTTTTTCATAAATAGTGTGCCCTTATAATGTCGAGGCTTTGTGTGGTTGTTCAACTCGCACACTCTCAAGATCGCCCATGTCTTAGCTGAATGAAACATAATAAAAGATCCAATGCAAGGATAGTGTACGGAGTCAATTAATTCTTGATTGACATGATGTCGTATCAACGGGTGCTACAAACATTTGCTAATATTATTTTTGACTCCGGCTTCTTTTCATATTTTCGAGTCTCCAAAGCTGTGTCTACTAGCCCATGGATTGTCCAACAATCATGGAACTCAAAGCCTTGGTATCCTTAATTGGCATTGCTTCAAAGATTCCTTAGCCTTCTTAATGCACCCACACTTTTAAGGCATATCATCAGTGTATTTTTAGGCTCTACTATAGAAGGTTTACATGTCCCAACAATAAGATATATAGAACTTGTATGTATAAATGGAAGGAAGGCGTAAACTTGACCTCCAAAAAAGTAGCAAATGTAAAGAAAATAGTAAACGAGGAGATACCACCTCCCAAGAAAAAAAAGTAGCAAAATTAGACTAGAAACCTCTAACGCTAGGGATACAATGCCTGTCAATTTGAATTAGAACGTGTAATCGATAATTAGAACGGATAATCGATGAGGAAGGTGTAGGAATCTAAACTCCTAGTAATTGCGTTGTTCCCAACCTACAGTGACAAGTGAGTGAGTAACCTAATTTCCCTCACGATATATGTGATAAATTGTGTCTCGGTATATTAATAAGCTAGCAATAATCGCAAGATCATTCTTTATCTTCTTATCAATATATGCATGCACCCACCCTAAATCCAACACCCCACTCATAGTGAATGTGGAAATCACACACACCATCACCTCATCCATCACAACCCCGGCCCTTTGCATCTCCCTAAACAATCTCGAGGCCTCATTAACCACCCGAACTATTGAGTACCAACTAATCATCACTCTCCATGCCACTACACTCATTTCGGAAATTCATGGACACTTTTTTACCCAACAGCTGTGTCTTGGCAAGCTACCATACCAGTATACTATCCATAGATCTCCGGTTTTCAGATATTGTACCCTCGGTCTCTGATAATTGCTCAACAAATATATTTAAATATAGTAAGATGAATTGGACAATACTATTTTACGACGCAGTAGTCACAGAACAACCTCCAAAGGTACCCCTAAACTTTACGATGTCTGGTGCTGTAGGCCTTTGTCTAAATAATGCATAGATATTTGTAGAGATATCTTGCGTTTCCTCATCCTTTTGTTGTCTAGTAATATAAAAAATCGAGTAGTTCTCCTAAGTCTACTAGTGGTAAATTAGGATATTGTAACAAAATTTTTGATCTTGTATCCATATTCTTACAAGAACTGGACTTATTTGTAAATTTTCAATCCTATTTATAAGAGCAAATTTATCAGGAATTAGTATAAACAAGACATTAGCAGTTCCATTAATGAAGTTTTGTACAGAAGTAACTGCAGATTTACTTTGAATTACAACATATTTTACAGGTTCACGCAAAGAAAATTACACACGGTACACACACAATTCTAAGCAGTTGGATATGAAGAATCCATTGCAATACCACAAAGCCCTTGTTTGACATCAATATCTCTTTGCATCATTATATACCCCTCCTCTCCCCAGCTGGATCCCCAAGAATTCTTAACCAACCAATACTTCGTACCGTCACTAGCCCTCCCGTACCCGACGGCCGTAACACCGTGGTCGAGGTCAGTCCCACACTCGCCGGTGAAAACGCCACTAGAGTAAAACTGAAAGTCCATTCCACTGGCATCGATGGAAACCGACACGGGTTGATTAGCCACAGCCTTGAGCAATGCCTTTTCACTGTTAGCAGGCACTTTTTCATACCCTAAAATCTTGGCTGCATGGGATGATTCTTTGTTTTTGTTGCAAGTACCATCTGTAGCCTCATAAGGGTATATGGATTCAGTGGCAATTCCTTTGTTTTTCACAATAAATTCAAAAGCATCCTCCATGTATCCACCCTCACAACCTTGATCTTCACTTGTTTTGTCACAATCTACTATTTCTTGTTCTGACAGTGAGATTAACTTCTTTGTTCTTATTTGATTAATACCTTCTGTTGCTCCAATAGCTGAAAATGCCCAGCAACTTCCTGTTGAAGACAAAACATAAATCAGTATTCGTCGTGAGGGGGCATGTTGAAAATGCAATGGAATCCCTATATGTCGAAGTTTTCTATAAAAAAATTTAACTTGTTGAAAATGCCTAGAACTTCCAGCCTGTCAAGTTTTGGGTCACAAACAAATTTGATGAACACACGAGGGAAATAGTGAAGATGAGATATGATTAAGTGTTCGTTGTTCATCTAACAACTTAAGCATTTACACAAAATAATTTATCGTAAAAGAAAGCTAAATTAGGTCAATTACCACATTGTCCTTGATCCTTTACTGGGGTGACAGCCCCTTTCTTCCTCCAGTCCATGCTAGAAGGCACTGCGGTCACGTTTTCATACTTGAATGGTGTAAATTCAGATGATTTCTTCTTTGAGGGCATCTTTAATCCATTCCGTGCTGCCCTAAACTCTTCATTTGTTAGATCAGCAAACGCATTGATCCCAAGCTTATAAGGCCGATTCCTGGCTTTATTGGAATCTTCAATGAACTCGATATTGTCTTTGAATATCTTGAAACGCTTTTCTTTCTCAACATTGTCTTTGTAAACACGTCCAAAGCGCACCATCCACTGCTCGTGTTTCTCTAGCATGGAAGACTCAGGTATTATGCGCGCCGTGGTTTGAGTAGCCCACATCCCTAAGATGATGACCATGAGAACAATGCCGAATTTGATCATCTTAGTTGTAAGATGTGATGGATATTAGGAGAGTTTTTTTTTCTTGAATCCATTAAAGCACTGATATTTATAGCTGATAAAAAGATGCACAATCAATTATACTTGATTAAAAATTAATTATAATTTCAATAAACCAGATTATAAATTAAAAAAGGGTTAGTTTTGCAGTTTGCCGGGCAAATTGGTATGATTGCACAATATTTTAACTCATTACGGTACGTAGATGTTGGCTCTTTGAAGTTTGAACACTAGAATTATTGAATTTGATTATAACAGAAACTATTATTATTATAATGAATAGTGCTGATATCAAAATCTGTATATATTCCAATTTCACAAAAAATTGTTAAAAGTATTGCTTTGTGACTTTAGTCGACTGACAGGTTTACAAACCATGACACATTATGCAATGTTGGTGCTGGTTGATCTAATGGAAAATTGAGATTTGGGCGCATACTTGTAATATAGTGCAAATAACAGATATGCTAAAAAAAATAAAAGAATTGCCGTACCTAAGTAAGCATTCATGTGTTACAGAGATTCTTCTTTGTTTTGTTATTAGTTATACGTAAAATAATTATGGCATTTTGCTTCTTAATTACTATTTAATATTGGAAACATATGTAGTTTGGTATTGATAATACAGCACGAGACACGACACGACAAGACGAGACAACACCTTTCCTTGGTAAAATCATATTTGGTGTTGTGGTGTGCTCCAAGTTCCATGTAATTTGGTGTTTGGTTGAATAGAAAAAATCTAAGGAGCTTGTGGGGGTTTTTTTTTTTTTTTTGAGTCCTAATTAATGAAAATCAAATTTTATCAAGGATTGAGAGTTTGATTTGGAAAAGGACTTTGAGTATAAAAGGCCAGCAAGCCAGGCATCGCAGCGCGGGCATGGGGCGCTACGGCGCCGGTTTCCCTGAATTATACAGAACGCCCAGTGCACGGCACCGAGGAGATATCGTGGTGTTTTTAATTCCCTTTTTTTCTGGATTTTATATCTTCTTCTTTATTTAGAACTCCAAAAAGTGATTCATATATATATTCCACATTGTATCTTCACATACATATATTCAACAACATTTTAAGAGTTAGAGAGTTTAGATTTCAATTGAGAGTATTGAGATCTTGGTATTGTAAACACGATTGCTATTTATTATAGTTGATTACTTCTCCTCTGCCCATAGTTTTTACCCATATTGAGTTTCCACGTAATTTTTGGTGTTTATTTTTTTCTTATTTATTTCATTATCCTGCGATCCAAAATACATAGCATTTGGAATTTGGTTCTCTGAACTGAATATGATAGAATGTTATAATTGGAAGAAAGTTTGCATCATCTCCAAGAAATAAAGCATTAATTTGAAACATCATTTGTATTAACTGTGTATAAATTCACGCAGCTCTAAGTCCAAATGCTCTCTGTCATCCCCTCTCTGTCGGATAGCATTGGCTTAAAAAGGTGTGAAACTAAAAATTTAACTTGAAAATCACTTCGCCAAGGCACGCTTAATTAAAATGTCGTGAATTTTGACCCTATTTATCGTTAATCAAATCGAATCAATTTTTTTTTTTTTAAAATCTTGAACCATGTTGAACCTGCGCACACAGAGGTAAGGACAATCGTTCTAAACTTTAATTTTATTTCTATTGATTTCTTGTTGAATTATTATTATCGTTTTGTTAATTAGGTTATTCAGATTTCATTATGCTAACTATAGTGTATACACAAATCACTAATTGTCACCCAAAAAAATTATGTTCATTAATCATACACAATTAATAATGTGATTTCTACAAAAACTTAAAAGTCTATAATATATAACAAATGTCACAAAGTTTGCAAATAATTGCTCCAAGGATAAACCTCCAAGTAATCCAAATACACCAACAATCTAAGTTATACCAATCAAGAATTCTTATCCTTAAATATAACACATATCGAGCCCTTCAACTGTAGGTGATGTAGGGATGTAAAGTTGCTTCAGACTAACCATCCATATTTCATTGGACGATTCAGTAGTTTGACTTGTATTGATCGGTCAAAGTCCTCGTACATTAATTATTTATCTATAACTAATGTGGAGTTTATCCATCGACAAACCCAACTTGACATGCACTCTATTTGTTTTTTGTTGATTTTTCAAAAAATAAATTAAAAACATTTGGTTTTAGTGGCTCGTCTAGACAAGAGTGAAAGCCTCGCATCTAATCCGGTCCAGTAAGTATCGGGCCAATTCAAATAATGTTCAACCCTCTTTATACCTTCAAGATCACGTAGTTATAGGTGAAATCATTAGCTTGCACGCAAGAGAGAGGGATAGACTTATATAATGGA